GTTTCATAATAATGCCCTTTCTTGACTTTTTATCACGTTGCAGTTGTGAGTGTTGGAGCTGCACTTTTCTTATTCCAACAGTTAGCTGGGATAAATGCAGTGGTATACTATTCTACAGCTGTGTTTCGTAGTGCTGGAATTGCATCTGATGTTGCAGCAAGCGCTCTTGTTGGGGCATCGAATGTCTTTGGTTAGTGTTTAATTATTTTCCAAAAATATAAATTCCTGGGAGAAAAAAATCACATAGGATACTTGACATTCCTGGCTTCTGATATGCTTTGCAGGCACAGCTATTGCATCCTCTCTGATGGACAGACAAGGAAGAAAAAGTCTTCTGATGACGAGCTTTGCTGGAATGGTAGGTTTATTAAGTTGTAGGCTTGTAGCAGTTCTTTTACCAAATCAGGGAGTGTGGTATTCTACTGAAACCACCAACATTTGCATTTTGGGCCTTGAGTTCAGATACATAATAAATAAAACAAACATCTCCCATATATCCTCACTATGTAACATTTCTTTTTATCTTTTTTGTCTATATTATGATCAATTTTATTAAATTGAAACTGATGTTACCTTGATGCGAAGACTTCAGTTAAAGTTTTAGGTTAGAAATGGCAAATTACAAAATATGTTAAAGTTGGTGAACTTTCTTGCATGCGAAACACTAGCTAGGTTAGGTATGGACTGGAAACTCTAGGATAATCATTCGTCTAAAAGATGTTTCTAGGTATATTGAGCTACTTTTTTTCTTTTTTCAACTTGTGTTTTTTTTTTATAGGAATAGGATGCATCATTAAAAACCTCCCTCTAAGAAGTCCACTGCCCTAAGGCAAGGACCCTCTAGTGGAAGGATTTTTTCAACTTGTGTTGAAAGATTGAGTTGTTGAAATAAGTCAATAACATGTTCATGGATGCTTGAATGGATTGTACTTTTCACAAGGAGTAAAAAATAACCATGCTTTCGATGTACAGTGATTTTTTATGAGCAAAAATGCCATAATAGCATTTTGTTTGGTTTCCTATGGTTTACATCCACCCTGAAAACTTTGTTAGACTTGCTTACTTGCTTCTTCAATCACCATATGTTGTCCTTTTTTATTATTTATTACACCATGATATGATAACCAATTTGCTTAATTAGACTAATTATCTTTTATCTTTTACTGGTCTTATTTTTCCGTCTTCTTTTGGCTTTTGAAGGCTGCTTCAATGTTACTACTCTCTTTGTCGTTTACTTGGAAGGTCCTGGCTCCCTATTCTGGCACACTAGCTGTTGTTGGAACCGTTCTGTGAGTTGACGCTTTTTATAAAATTAATGAAGCCAATCAAATTTTCTTCTTAGTTTGATGCCTGCAATTGTTTTCACCTCCTACTGACTAGTGAGATCTAAACCTGGTTTCGATTTCTTTTGCACAGCTATGTTTTATCCTTCTCGCTTGGTGCTGGTCCTGTGCCTGCTCTTCTTCTGCCGGAGATATTTGCTTCCAGAATCAGAGCTAAAGCAGTGGCTTTATCGCTTGGCACACATTGGGTAAGTCACAATAGAGAACCTTCCCAAAGATGATATTTATATCCCTAAAAGCAAAGTTGTAAATGTAGATACTTAAACAGGAGCAACGATTTTGTTCTTTCTTATCTGTGTTACCTAGACTCCTTATTTCCATTAAGTACCCATAGTTATCAATATCATTCTCCAAATACATGGAGAAACTTAGAAAACTTGAGAATGCCCGAAACATACCTATATTAATTCTGAATATTTGGTGCTTGTATCTTTGTATTCTTCTACCAACTGGGTATTTATTTGTTTCATCTGTGGCCTGTGCTATTGTTCCTACAGATCTCCAACTTTGTCATTGGCCTGTATTTCTTGAGTGTTGTGAACAAGTTTGGGATCAGCTCGGTGTATTTGGGGTTCGCTGGAGTTTGTGCCCTTGCTGTCTTGTACATAGCCGGTAACGTTGTGGAAACAAAGGGGCGATCTTTGGAAGAAATAGAGCTAGCTCTGAATCCGACAACTTGATTTGTACAATATCCAGAGGTATGCAGATAATCTCTGAATCTGGTGAATCTTCATGTCATGAACATTCCTATTTTGCATCTTTCGGTTAGGGCCAGACAGAAGCAACCAGTTTTAGTGAAGTGTACGTTTGTTGCTTGAATTCTGGAATTGTACTTTTGGTTCCTCAGCTAAAAAAATAAGCTAACTAGTTCTTATACAATTCGTTTCTAGCAAATTGATTCATCAGTTTAATCTCCATCATTTCCTCCATTAAAAGCTTTGGAAAAGGGCTTAACTTCCAAATTTGCCCCTATGCAAAACCCTTGAATGCCTTTGGGGAAATTTTCTTGTTTTAGAAAATGATTTCACGTTTCCAAATTGATAGTGCCGTGTCATATTTTTCAATGGTATTACAAAATAAATATCTGATAGAATTTTTAAAAAATATAATATTTGGCCATTTTCGTTTCATTTTAATTAAGATGTAGTCATTGAATATTAATAGTCATTAAACTTTTAACGGTTTGTTGATGTGGCTCGATAAATATATAAAATTAAAATTATATAATTTTCACGTAGATTATACGTGGATTAAGTTTTGGTCACTTTTCTTTCTTATTTGTATATTTTTGTTTTCTAAATTTAAATACATATGTTTTGATCACTTATGTTATTGTTTATTAAGTTTTGGCCGCTTATATTATCGTTTTATCAAGTTTTGGTCACTTGGATATTGACTGTCGTTAGTTTGATGATGTGGTCTATTAGTAAAATGATTTAATTTTTATTTTAACCCCTACATTTTAGACAAAATATTGATTATGGGTTTTTTTATTTAATTTAACAATTTTAATAGGTTTTTTTACTCAATATTTTTTTTCCAGATGTCTCTGCTCCATTGCTCCATTTGTCTTCTTTCAAGGACCCATGTTGCATTTCAAGAATAATGCAAAATTTCCAACTTCTAATAAAAAAAAATAACACCACAAGTTTAGAGAAAATGAGAGGGTAGATATCTAGAGATAAAATAAAGTTGGGTAATTTTAGTTATACAAACTAAAATTCAATTTCCAAAGATTGAGATTGCAAAATATCAAATCCAACCAGGAACAAGAATACAAATCAATGGATCAAAATAACCCGATAATCGAATATCACTTTTCGTGGTAATTTTCCTTTGAGAAAACGCCTCGAGTGAAACATAATCAATGGATCCAAACAACACGATAGCTGGATCTGTGAATTTATCCATCGAACTCAATTTAAAATACATGATCTTTAACGTCAAATCTTTATTTTTACTCGAGAACAAGCAATTTTCTAATTCTAGATCCCTATGAACAATGTTCACCTTATGAATAATCGTTAACACATGTGGCCTGAGCGATCTGTCGCACCATCTCCATTGCGTCGGCCTCTAAATAGCTTATTTTTGCGACGACTCGATCGCGCCTCACAGGGATTTTGTTGGTCAATAATGCGGGGGAGATGGAAACCTGATACCATGTCGTCAATAACGTCGCCATTGAAGAAGCTCTAGTTTTCCCGGCTTGAGGCGGTGGCATTGTCGTGGTGATTTAATAGTGAATTCTCTACAATTTTCACGATCTTCATTACTTTTTTATACCCTTTCTTACAATTGGGAACCCATCTAATTTGACTTCAAAAAATTACAACTAATAATTAGAACCGAGAATGTTATTGCAATGGAGCAAAGATGTCTGAAGAAGAAGCGATGAGAAAATGAGCAATAATGGGTTTAGGGAGGAAAAAAAATAAAAATGGATAAATTGAAATGTTATCCCTAAACTAATTTGAATTTATAAAAGACTCATATCAGTATTTTGTCTAAAGTTTAGGGGTTAAAATAAAATTAAATCATTTTACTAATGGATCACATCATTAAGCTAACGACATTTCACGTCTAAATAAACAAAACTTAACAAAATAATATCGTAAGTGACCAAACTTATGTTTTTTGAATTTGATGAGCAAAAATATACAAATATAAAAAGAAAGTGATCAAAATTTAATCTACGTAGAAATTATATAATTTTAATTTTATATATTTACCATAACGCGTTAACAAATCGTTAAAGGTTTAACGACTATTAACCTTCGGTGAGTATATTTTAATTAAAAAAATGAAAGTGGTCAAATATTACATCTTTTAAATCTAGTAAGGAAAAATTTATAAATATAAAATAAAAGTGACTATAATTTACCACATAAAAAATATAAAAATGTATAAGTACAAAGACCAATTTAATGATTGTCAAATCATTATTTAAACGTGAATGACGGAAAATTAAACAAGCGGTCAATTTACTATTTCTTTTTATAAATTGACCAAAACGCAATACCAAAATGTAATCAATCACCTAATATAAGGACTTCTATGATAGTTTCACCTTAGAGCCGATAATAAAATTATATCAAACGGAGCATTACTTCGTTTCCACGACAATACATTTTTTTGGCCACCATAAGCGCCAACGAATCATACAATATTCCGTAATCAACTCCTTAAAACATTCAACAAAAGTGAGGTTCGTATTAAAAAACAAATTCATTTCTTATTAAATATAAATTTTACATTTGTAAGTACTAATATATGTTTTCAATAATATCTATAATCTATTATATATTCAATTTTATAATTTATAGTTTAATAAAAATCACTTTATATTGCAAGCATAAACGTATTTTCTGTAATATTTCGACAATTATTTCTCTCTTAAATTTTGTTAAAATATATAAAATAGTATCTTTGACTTTATAATAGTTATGTTAGCATGTAATTTTAATTTTTGAAATATGACATGTAATTTAAATTAAACATGACATATAAATAATATTAATTCTTTATATTATATTTAAAATCTATAATTTTTTTTTGAAAGAAGTAACAAATTTAAATGTTTCTTATAGATGAGATTTTACACGCAAGTCAGCCTAAAAAGATAAGGTGAAATCCAACGTTTGTAACTGTTAATGAAAAACTTGGAGCAAAAACAAGTTGTTCACTTATCAAAATCAAGGAGCCGCAGCAAGGGCTTCAAGGTGCCCGGTGAAAACTTCCTAGCAAACAGGAAGCACATTGAAGTCGTATTCCCATTGTAAATACATTCCGATCCATTTCGAGTTCGATTCAAAAGCTCCTCGTTGACATCGGGAGAACCGAATTTCCTCGGATGAGGCCCTCCTCTCGACCAGTCAACCCACGTAATGCTCCGATTCGAGGTCGATCCTACGTAAAACATGTTCACCAACGTAGGTATGTAATGTTCATCGCTATAGCAAGGTGGGTGACAGTGCTCTCGGAAAATCGAATAATACTTTTGGTCGGAGACGACGTGAAGGGCCATCTCGCGGTGCATTTCAAACCATTGAGATCCTTTTCGCCAATCGGTGAGATTAATCGCAGGCGACATTTGGGGATTGTATCGACCACGGCCGGGTTTCCTGGGATCATCGTATACGCTCAAGAAGCTTAGGTTTGAGGTGATGAGGTAGTCATATGTTATGTTGAAGTTGAAGAGCGGAATGCATGAGTCTGATAGGAGAATAAATCTTTGATTTGATACATCAAGAAGTGCATTTGCAAGTAGTCGTCTCTCTGCATCTATCATCGATGCAGTCCCCCAATACACCGGCTGTCTCATCAACAAAAAAACAAAGCAAAAAAAAAAAAAAAAAACAACAACAACAAATTGAAGTTAAAAATAAAAGGTATAATACAAAAAATGCCCCTAACATTCGACTAAATAGTTATTTTGACTCATTTTTGTTTGGAGCATTTTGGGTCTTACCGTCTCATTTTAGGATAAAAAGATCTTTAACGTTTGAGTAAATAATCACTTTAATTCATTTTTTGTTGGAGCATTTTGGCGCATAATATTTCATTTTAGGAAAAAAAATACATTTAGTATTTGACTAAAAGGTCAATTTAACCCTTATATTTTTAGAGCATTTTGAACTATAACATATCATTTCACCTTTAACATTTAACTAAATAGTCACTTTAGCCCTTAATGTTTTTGAGCATTTTAGTCTATAATATTTTCTTTTAGGACAAAAAGACCCTTAACGTTTGACTAAGTAGTAACTTTAATCCTTATTTTTTTGGAGCATTTTGACCCTTAATGATTCATTTTAGGGCAAAAGGGTCTTTAATGCTTGACTAAATAATCACTTTAACTCTTAATTTTTTTTGAGTATTTTGACCCATAACATTTTATTTTAGAGTAAAAAAAATCAAATTCTCAAATATATATATACCTGGCTCGGAATTCTTCGGCCATAGAAGACTGAAGTTTGAGGGATTGTTACATTGTAATCAGGATGTGAATGAACATAGATCGTGTAAAAGCCTTCGTTTCCCTTAAAGAACTTTTCCCACAACGGAGCCAAGGGAAGTGGACCACTCGCCAAGAACATGAAAGCAACCTTCGGACGATAATATTCTTGCATTCCCGAAACCCTGGATGCTCTCAACAACAACACTTCGTCACTCATATTGTGCATCAAAGACTCACGTTGTTCCAACGAAACCGTAACGTTAGAGCCGGACGATGTTCTTCCATTCGTCAAAGATGACGACGATGACAACGGATGTGGCGGCGATGACAACAGATGTGGCGGCGATGACAATGGTGGTGGTGGCGATGGCGGAATCAAAGACTGACGTTGTTCCAACGAAACCGTAACGTTAGAGCCATACGATGTGCTTTCATTCGTCGAAGACGACGACGACGGTAACAGATGCGGTGGCGATAACAACGGCGGAACGGGTGGAGAAGAAGTAGTATAGACCAAAGAGGAGGCTTGAGAAAGTAGTAGTGGGAAGCTTTTAAGCTGTAAAGCGATGAGAATACCAATTGACAAACCAATGAAGAAAGTGATAACATGGAACACGAGTTTGTTCGTCGTGAATGACTTGAAAAATGGCTGAACTATATGCTTCTCCACGCCCATGGTTGTGTGCGTTGGAATGGGAGAGGCGGAAGGTTTTTAAATAGTGATTGTAAACATGCACGGTGGTTCAAAGTTCATCGGCCACGACCATAATATTAGGTTAAAGTTGACTTGGAAAAAGCTATTGGGTTAGGGTGATTAAAGCTTAAGAAAAGGCCACGCTGCATGTGTTTCACTTCTTTAAGATTTGATTGATTCCTTGATAATTAAAATTAGTGCAGTGCTTAATACTTCTTTGAATAGCAAAGCCACTTGATTTCTAATGTTAATTGAATTTAGGTTGAGTAATGTTGATAAATATATTTTAAACTCAAGTGGAAATTATTTCAATCTTTAATATGACATTCACCCATAAAAATAACAAACTTCTCTCGTCGCATAGAAACTTCACATACTTGGCTAACCAATGAGGTATGATGTTTCAGAAATAAATAATAGTTTAATATGTTTATGATCAATATGGGTATAATAGAATGCATTCAACATTTATGCGTGATAACGAGTCACTTAAAAACACATCTACTTTGATTTAGGCATGTGCTTAGGGGTTGCCTTTATTCCTTAATATCCTTTTGCCTTCATTTATTGCTATATTTTCTTTTCAAACACATTACGTGTAGCCATTCTTTATCAACTTTAGTCGGATGTTTGAAAATAATAAAAAATTTATTCACATAAAAAATAATTTCAATAATTAATTTATAACATTTTTATCGATTTTATTATTTAAATATATCAATCTGTAAATTTATTTATAAATATAATACCGTCCAAAGATTATTTACGAAAATAACTTTTGTTTTTGCTACGTGCACCCACAAAGCACATTTGATAGATTGTATCTTTATCGTACATGACTCTCTATCGATATACGTGGCTGATAAGTATACCTTTTGTGGGGTTTGAAATTCATTTAAAAAATCATAAATTTTGAGAAAGCACCAGAGCAAAAACGCACTTCAAAAAAGAGAGAATAAAGTATTTAATTTATGGTAGGTATGATACTCTTTTAATTTTATTTATTTAATTATTATTTTATGTATTTTCACGTAAATCAAGATACATACAAGTTAAAATTTCACAGAAGACAATCATTATATCATACATAACAAAATTATATATCATCTTCGTAAATAATTTTTAAATAATATTATACTCATAAATTATTTTTAAAAATAATAAAATTATTTTTCTCGTCACTAATAGATTGCATTTTTGTATTAAAAAATGCAAATTATATATATATATATATACATATATTCAATAACACGGTTGTCACCATGGAAGAGAGCTAACGTGCTTATGGTTAGTTTGAAGTCTACTATGACTTCAATATTATAAGTTGATTCTATATACATTAACGTGTTTTTTTCTGTTATTAATTATGGTTTAAAGTCACTTTTGCCTCTTGTAGTATATTCAATTTATTATTTTTATCTCTATCGTACTTTCACATCAATTTATTCTTTAATTGCATCATTCTATACTCTATTCCTAACTTAAAACCCTAAATTATAAGTCCTAAATTAGGTTTAAGGTTTATGATTTAGATGTTATTGTGTTATAGCTTAGGGTTTATAATTTAGAGTTTTAAGTTAGGGACTGGATATAGAATGATGCAATTGAACAACTTCGATAGGTGAATTGATACTAAAATACGATATAAACGAAGATAAATTGGATCTATTACAAGAACAAAAATTACTCTTATGCCGAAATAAAAGCTAAAGTTTCGTCTTCATTTTTATCTGAATTATGTGCATTGATGAGATTTTAATCTAATGATAAAGAACAATATTTTATGAACTTTAAGATTCAATAATTAAGCCTTATAATGTGCAACTTTGATATTTATATTGGTCTATAATTATAAATCTAGGATTGATTTTTTTTATTAAAAAAGACAAAAAAGAAAATAAAAAGTCAACCAAAGCAATGACTGAAAACCTATATCGGTGCATGAAAGATTGTCAACCTTTTCTAGCATTATATATATATATATATATATATATATCAATTTACTAAGGGAAATAAATCCAAAATGTTAAAAAAATAATATAAACTAATGGTGAGGAAGTTTGAATGTAGAGGCTACGTGGTCAGCGAGTCAATTTGAATCCATTTTTATTATGACATTAACACAGTTCATGTTTGTTTAATTTAAAATATAGATTTAGAGTTTTACTTAATTCGGTTTATACTTATAAATGATTAATCAATTTCATTTTTTATATGATCATATTAGCTCTTTTATATTGAAATATTTATTTATTTAATGTTTAATTGTTATATATATATTTATTAACTTTATTTTTTACTCACGTGTACATTGACATGTTGATAGATTTTTAATGTTTACATTATAGTGTTATGTATTATAGATTATATAATATATAAATTTAAAATGATAAAATATTTTAAACAAATTTAATTCTTTATTAAAACTCATGTTTTGACTTAATATTTTTATTCAAATTATTTTTAGCTTTTTTCAAATTTAAACTGTTAGCACTATCCTTAAATATATCTAGTTAAGAAATTACTGATTTTATTATTAATTTTAGGACTGATTTTTCAAAACGTTTAGAGTGTAAAAAAAGATAAATCCTTCAAAGCGGGTTAAATGCATGCACTAAAGTTTTCCAAGTTGCTTCAAATAGGAAAAAGGAAGATTATTATATTAATTTTTTTTGAATTAATCATTGATATACGAGCTATTGATCGTCTAATTCAGTTCGGGTACTGCAGAGGCGAGGTACCTAGTGTCTCATCCAACTAGATCAACTGGTTGTTGATAGATTATCATATTAATTGAATACTAAAAACTCTGAATATTATTTCAATGAATTCTTTTGTAACTTTAATCATTGGTTTAAAGAACTATAATTTAAACATTAAATATCAGTCTGGATTTTATGTAAAGTAAATTAAAATACGCAATTTATATCAGAAATATATGTATATTTATTATCTGAATAATTTAAATCTAACTTGTTAAAAATAATGTTAATAAAAAAAACGAAGTTAATGTCTAGACTATTGAAATGAGTTAATTGATAGGGGCTCAATCATGGATGGAACCAGAACTAAATATTGACAGAGGCCAAAATATTATATATTTAAAAAAATATAGACTTATTAAGTATTTAAACTCAAAATTTAGCATGAACTAAGCAACCTTAGTGATTAAGAGATTATTGTTATCCTTGAGATATCAAGTTCGAGCATTGCTCATGTGGGGGTATGAGCGTTCATTGTTAAATAGTTGAGAGTCTTTGTACATATATTACTCTTTATTCACCCTAGATTTATTAAAAAAATAAAAAAAAACTCAAAATCCACAAGATAACACTTAATTTGTGTAATATTTAGACTTACAATGACCTAAATTATTATTAGACAAAAAATTTTGAGAACACGGGTTATCCTTCTTTAGTTTGGTCTTACTTGATTAAATATTTAATAATTTTTTATATTTTTTAATTTTAATATTTATTTTTACATGAACCAAAATACTATTAGATCAAAATTATATCAAATATATTATGCTCCGCCGCTCGACTCAATTCTATATTTTTTAAAATTCAAAATATAAATGTAAGAATATTTGGTGCAATTAACTCTGAAAATATATAAAAAGTTAAATGATTGGTAATTCTCTAAATAATCACTTCAAACATTTTCAAGTCCTTCCTCTTTCGCATTAGCAAGTTTACTCCAACTTTTCAAGTCTTATTAATAAATTCTTTGCCTTGGGAAAAAAATATTAATAATTGAAAAATATTAATAATCAATAAACTTACCCCTCGTAGAGCCCATTTATCTATTGTGGGCTTCCATCTACGGGAGGCCATAAAACTTAGGGTAAACTACTTGAATGACCACCCAATTATAGGGTTAGTATCAAAATGACCACCATTTTTAAAATTGAGTCAATATGACCACCGAACTTCACCCGACGTTAGTATTTAACGGAAGTGTCTACGTGGCATTTAACAAAATTGGTATGATTACATATTTAATCTTCCATTCTTATACATTCAATCAATTTAGTCCTGATTTTAATTTTATTTAATAAACTAACTATTCAATCAAGATGTGACACGTGTTACCATTTGATTAAAGGAAAAATAAATTGCAAAGTGACAAACAATAATAGTGCAGGTGTGGGTTAAACATGAGAGGGAACCATGCACTCATGCCTTGCCACTGAGCCAACCCTCAAGATTTGGTTTTAATTTACAACATAATATATATTTTTTGTAAAATAGTTAATGCTAGAAGAAAAAAATAAATAAAAATGTTTATGAAGGGATTTGAACCTAGACTATTCAAAACTTGAAAATACCAAACCACTATACCAAACCACATATTTATATAATAGTTTGATAGATTTTATATATAAACTTAACACTGATTTATGCACTATTAAAAGAAATTAAATTTTAAATTTTTATATTTTTAAAATAAATTTAATATTTTCCTTTTCACTCTTATAATTTAATGATTATATATAATCTTAATTAAGTCTTTTTAATTTAGTTAATGATTTTATTTTTATTAAAAATTAAAGTGTATAAATTATTTATATTTTAGTTAACTCTTTTAGGTTGTGTAGTTTAAAATGCGTAATTTAAAGTCATTATATTTTATAAATTAAAATACATATTTTATTTTTTAATAAAAATAAAATGATTAATTAAATTAAAAATACTCAATTTAAGATTATATATAATCATTGAATTATAAATGTGAAAAAAGAAAATATTAAATTTATTTTAAAAATATATAAATTTTAAATTTAATTTTTTAATAGTGTATAAATCAGTGTTAAGTTTATATGAAAGGTATATTTGTTTCCATATAATGATTTTTCGAAAAATGTTTTCCTCATTTTTCAATATTTGGTTGGTGGAAAACGGATGGTCAATGTAATTCATTTTTTTTTTGTTCAACTGAATTTCCTTTGCATTTTCTGGAAAATGACCTACGGTCTAATT